TGATGACATCATCATAAAAATGTTCATGCTGTATAGTTCCAAGGAGAACTGCTCTTCTACTTTTGGATCTAGAACCCCGGTCATGTCATGCAACTCGCGAAAAGCAGGTCTCAAAGGTTTTCACGGCCATGAAGCAAAATACGAGAACAGAGGAAAGATATGCAAAAGAATTCATATTTGATCGCAATTATCCCCAGTAAGCAGTAACTGAGCAACGAAAGCTGCTCGTGGTGAACATTTCTAAGCCTAATTTCAGCAGAAATCGCGCGTATGTATGAAAGAAGAATCCCAGATGCGGCCTATACGCCTGATTATTACGTTTTCATTCATTTTTTCTCAATGAATGGCCCACTCATCCCTCCATCAAATCATATGCTCTAAATAACTGTTTTTGCGAGTCTGCTGGAACATTTTTTCCACAAGATATATTTACTAAAATTAGTAATGGTTTATCATTGCAATCCAAAAAATTTGCAATATAATGACAGTTGAAATTATCCAATGAAAAATAAAATTTAGCTTTTCTCATAATCACAGCACTTCAGACATATTTTTACTGGCTGAAATGAATTGTTTCAAGTTTTCAATCAGAGAAACCTTTCTTGAAGCCCAGCTTTCTTTTTTCAATACATTCTCCTGGATAGCTGCTTCATTGATTCTCAACTTCATGTTTGCAATATACATTTTGTTCTGAGGACTGTATCACATATATTTGAAAAAAGTCTGGTGGTTGTCAAATTATTTTATGGGACATTACCAGTCCACGGAAAATTAAAAAAAAATATGCTGGTCCCCAAGCTCAAAAAGGTTGGGGAACACTGCTCTATAAATCAGTGTTCCTCAACATTTTTGGGTTGGTGGATTGGCAACACAAATGTAAATTTCCCACAGACTGGCAAACAACTTCATCTGCAGACCAGCACTGGTCTACACACTACTGGTTGGAGAATGCTGCTCTAAATCAGACTGATGGTCTTCAGAGTGTAGCCTTTAATCAAGGGAATATACTGCATATATAATCAAAATGTAAAATAAACATGCTGCATTTATTTTCAACCTTGTTATCCAATAAAATAATATACACCAGAATATATAAAATATTAGACAGTATAGATTTTTCAACATTCACAAAAATTACAAATAATAAGTTCAGAATAAGGAAGTCTTGCTAAATTCTTTACAAGGCTTCCTGAGAAATAACTGCATTGAGGTTTTGATTAATTCTGAGGCTTGCTCAGGGAAATCAGAGGCATATATAGACTTGACAGGAATCAAGGATAACCAAGATTCCTTCAAGCCAGGAAAATTCATGAGGGTTTTTTAAACCTCAAGCATATATTTAGTAGGATGTGTCAGGTGAAATAGCACATCAGGTAAAATACATTCAATCAAAAATATACATATATCCAAGAGGCTTTTCCTCTTGGATCCCTGCAGTGTCAAAGAAAATCCATCACAGTGGCATCCTTCACTGTCAGCAATAAAGAGAGGAAAATAGGCACTTGGCTGTCTGAAGGGAAAATCATCATGCATTAATGTGGACATTGTTTGCATATACTGTAGAAGAGTGAAAAACCAGGAACAGCTCCAGGGGGAGAAAATCACCACTTGCTCCTGGAAAGAAATAAAATTGGTAATTCTTCCTGGTATAGAGAACCTTGCAACAAGTGTAAAAGTATCTTGTAGGTTAACAAACTCACTCTGGGCAAAATAAAAACAGTTTCCATTGTTTTTTAGTGTGACAAATCAAGGCATGTTTGCAGAAAGTCTGACCAGTCAACTCAGCATTGCCTGGGTTGTTATTTTCTTTTCTGAAAAACAAGTGCTCAAGTGTTGAAGATAATAAATTGCAGAGGAACAGAGAGGCCCTGGGTCCTTGAGAGGGTTAGGCAAGCCTTCCTCGAGATGGAAATTTTGATCACTGACTGGCAGTGGCTTGCAGTGCCAATCAACAGGCAGAGCAGTTGACATTTATTTTCAAGTGAGCAAGTGTTGTTCCCCATTTTTTTATTTCTAACAGTTACAGTTGTGCATACAGTTCCCAATACTTTTAAATTGGGGTTTTTAGATGTTGGTTCTCTTCCACTGCAGGTTCTGTTGGTTGTTTTTTAAGCTTACTTTCAGTTCTCAAGCAAAAAAGGAATTTCTCTCAGCTATACTATACACTCTCAAATCAATAAACACAATAAACATAAATTGAATAAAAATATACACTTTCAAAATTTTTTTCAGTCATGAAGGTATGTGAAAGGATAATCAAATCAAGGCAGTCTATTGATTATATTTTTATGTACAGGTCCAGATGCTGTGGTTGCTGTTGGTGGTCCTTGCAGATGTGGTGGCAGCTGTTTGCATTGTAGATCAGAAAGAGGTGGTGTGCAACAATATGTGTGGTGACAACATTGTCAAGGCATTGGAGTATGGCAGAAAGGTACATTTATTGGTGAGGAGCTTTATTTGGACTGTGTGCAACTTTGGTGGTTGAAGGCAAGGCAAAAATGTTGATGAAGAAGTAAGTTTTTTCTTCAGCAAGGTTTTTTTCTGCCTTGTCAGGCTGTCAGGTTGCAGAAGGTCATCACCTGCCTTGGTAGGCAGGAGGGCCTGGACGAGATGGTCACCCCATGGGTGTACTGCCAAATTGATTTCAGGAAACCAGAGTTGTCAAATCCAGCAAGTAAGTTCTGAACTTTTTATTATTTGTTGGGTACTCATAATAATAACCACAACACCCCTCACTTTCCGTACAACCCTTTTAAGCTAATTCATTTCCACTATGCTTTGCTGCACCTGGTGCACTAGCAATTATAGTTCACAATCCCATTGTTAAGCCAACAAAGGGTGACATCCCTGATCCAAATTGGTTCCTATGTGCGTTCCTCAACCTTGGCCAGCCAAAACTATATAAACAGGTGCATTATATGTTGTGTTAAGTTTACTGCACCAGACTCTGGCCAAATGCTAGATCTACGCTGCTTTGTTCTGTAGCACTGTATTGTATTTACTGTGTGACAAATATAATGAAATCTGCTTTGTATACTCTCACAGAGTAACTTTTGTGTTTCCTTATTTGGAAGTCACAGAAAATGTCTTAAATCTCCAATTTAATTCCTTTAGCTATAAATAAGTATTTGACAATGACTGATCATCATTGGATGTACTGATCAACATCATAGTTTTGCAATCCACTAAATAAATATTCTGCAAAAGCACTTTTCCTTCAGTTGGACTTTTTTGCATTTTACTTCTCCACTAGCACTTGTGTCACTTGTTAGAACTACTACACTTAGTGCACCGTTTGTGCAGCAATCCTAAGGACCCACCCCTCCAAAACATAAAACTTTGGCTTTGCCAACTTTGTTATCCAGAAGCTATGATATTGATCAGTATGTCCAACAATGATCAGTCATTGTGAATACTTATTTATTGCTAAAAGAATTGAATTGGAGATTGAAGATGTTTTCTGCAACTTCCAAAGGAAACACAAAAGTTACTCCGTGAGAGTATGCAAAGTAAGTTTTATTATATTCCTCACACAGTAAATACAATTCAAATGCTACAGAGTAAAGCAGGGTGGATCTGCTGTTTGGTCAGAGTCTGGTGCAGTAAACTCAACACAATATAAAATACACCTGTATATATAGCTTTGGCAGGCCAAGGTTGAGGAATGCGCATAAAAACCAATTCAGATTGGGGATGTCACACTTCGTTGGTTTAAAAGGAAAGAAGCATGACCGTGGTTGGGAAAGGATTCCATCAACAGGATTGTGAAATATAATTGCTAGCGCACCAGACGCAGCCAAGCATAGCAGAAATACATTAGCTTAAAAGGGTTGTACAGAAACTGAGGGGTGTTGTGGTCATTATTATGACTACAGTGTGGTAAAAAAGAAGTTCATGAATTTATTTTCTATGATCCTCACCTCCATTTCAATGATTAAAAAATCATAGCTTCATCTGCATTGATGAAATAATTGTAGCAATATTTTTTTGTAAAAACTAATCTGCTGATGAATGAAAAATTTCAGCAATGTTCAATATTTATTTGCTGTAACAAATTCAGAACCAAACTTTTTCTTTCAGTTGGATTCAGCTCCAAAAATTTTTATATACTGTTAAAAAACATCTATCATAAAAATTACCAAAAACTGATCTGTAAAATGTTGGCTATTTAAGATAGGAGGGTGTTCAAAAAAGCAAAATGTTCCCCAAAACAATAGACAATCCAAATCTTTCCTTGTACTGAGCAATGAATGCTTGATTAATGTATGATGATCATTTGATGTATGCTTAATGATCATTCAATGTTCAAGTGATCATTGCTTGTACATTGCTTGATCATCAAATGATCATTGAGCATACATCAAATGATCATCAAGCATTCATCTTTCCGTACAAGGAGAAATTTGGATTGCCCTCATTTTGGGGAACATTTTGCTTTTTTTAAACACCCTCCTATGTAATTAAAAAAATTTTTACATATCTTCAAAGTTTGGGGAAAATTTTACATATTGCATTATTTTGAAATGGTTTATAACAATTCGTAAGAGCTGAAACAGCAGATAGAGAGAACCGCACTGTTTGATTGCATAACACTGTGAAAATCACATTTCACTGTGATGATCTTGTGAGCATAACACATCAATTTATTCTAGTCATTATAATTTCAGAAAAATTTTGAAATTATTATAGTCAAAAATATTGACCACATTACAATGATGCCTTTCAATATATATGTCTCTAATATATGTGCCTTCCCATTGCCAACCAATTCAGAATGCATTCCGCAATGCCACTAAAAATGGCCTCAACAGTTTTTCTAAATAACATTTTGAATACACAATGGATGCCAATGTGTGGTCAGTTCCAATTTGAGAATGCCTTTCTTTACAATGTTGGGAGAATGGCATTCCCAATGGCTTCAGATTGCATTCTCCCAATGTTAATCACAAAAGGGGATTGGCTGAAATCCTCACTGTTCTGACAATGACATAGCAATGGTGCTACCAACTTCATTGTCAAAATGTTTGCCAGCCCAACACCCCCATTCTTTGCTGGGTGGGCACTCTCTGGGAGAGAGGCAGATGGGTGAAATGCAATCATCCTTGTGCCAACATGAGAGTTCAGGTCAACACGAGAGTTCAGGTCCCTTTGCCTCCCTACCACCCTCCCTCCCACAGAGCCCAAACTAAATGGACAAGTCTAACTAGTGTCCACTGTGGACTCATCCTCTTCAGCATCCTCAGAAGGGTTAAACTTTGCACTACTTTGGATTCATCCATATAGGATTGAAATGGACACATCCTTGACACGTCTGGGGATGCTCAACGGTTTTCCTGGGAGATCATAAATGACAATCCTTTCAATACCCACTTGTTTATGTTGAATTATGTTGGCATTGATCATTCATAAAAAATCAACCTCTGAAAGATTAATGCCAATCAATAATATTGAGCACAGGTCTATAATATTTGAAAACAAAAAGTGCCATTAGAAGAAAATAAATGAAAGAGATAAATTCTGGAGAATTTCGGATTTTGCGCAAAAACTGTCAGATAATATATCCCAGGAAAAAATATATATAAACGTATTCCGGGCTTCTTTTCGATTTCCAGGATATACGTATAGTAATGATTTTCATTGTAGTACTCTATCCTAATGAACTAAGGCTTTCCAGGTGGTGTCAAGAGTGAAATATTTATTTCATACATGCAGTGGGTTGTACACTTTCCAAGGAATCCGCACAGAGGCATAATTTGAAATACTATGCATAATCATTCTTTTCTGAGGTCCTGAAAAAGTTTAGAATACACAAAAAGTTATTGAAATCTCACGAAAATGAAGAAAAGATAATCTTTGGGCTATCGTAATAGAAGATTGGATTCGTGCCATCCTTAAAAGTTTGAATTTCCTTCTCCCAGCGTAATTTTCAAAATTTCGTTCAAATTAATTGTCTGCATTATTTACGTTGATGCCTCAATCAAACATTCCTTATACATTTTGCAGAACTCGCTCGATCCGCGAGAGAAGTCGATATTGGAATCGCTGCAAAGATAAATCTTTGAATATTTTCTTCTTTTCCTGTCTTTCCCATTCTCTTTCAGTGAGATATCTGTAATGATGGGAAGATGCGATTTCGGGGGACACTAAAAGTGTTGAGCACTTATACGCATTCAAGCATTTGGGCAGAGTGATTCCTTCAACTTTAAGCACTTGCGAAGTTTTCAAAAAGCTTTGTGCATGATGCGTGTCCTCACTGAATTCGAGTCGATTCAGAGTATTCAGTTTCGGAAGGTATTTCAGAATTCCAGGTGTCAATTGTTGCAACTCATCATCCATAGGGAAAATTGCTTCGCGGAATGTGATTGAAGAATATGTTTTGCCCCTTGTCACATTCTTCACTAAAGCTTGCCAAGAATGGGATTTGGCAGGAATGATGATCTCGTTTGAGTTGATGATGGTGATTAAGTCACTGGTGTGTAGGTTTTTGTACAGACAGTCATTGGCTGCAATTAGGTCCAAAGATCTTCGAAAATCCTCATTTGCGGACAGGAAAGCGTTGCGACGAATGGGCGTATTTGGACCATCCCCAGGAACTGATATTCTTGAGACATGTAAGAAACCCTGCTTCTGGTAATACCTGTGGAAATGAATGAAAACAATGAATGTGACATGATATTTCAACAGAATTCCTGCATAAAATGGTAAAATATGATGAGGAATATTGCATAGTTGAACCTGCTGGCGTCAAGTCAAATTCCCAGGATCAAATGGATCAGAGACGTTTCGAGTTGTGGAAAACTAATATTTTTGTCTTAAAGCAAAAATAAATTTAAGTAAGCTACAATTAGTTATACTGTACTGTATTCTGTCAAAAACAGCCTTGCAAATAGGAATTTGATATAGTTGACCAGCAGATGTTGAACGTGAAAGGAAGGGTTCATTTGTGAAATTATTCTTTCATTTCCTCTCAAAAACCACCAGGTAGCAAATTTGTATGTTGTTGTCCTTTCTATTACAGGACTGTGAGTCAAGAATAAAGAACTATGTTCTTATTCTGGATTAATATCCTTTATACAATGTTCTCATCCACATACAAACATTCAATATAACAATACAAATACACAAACACACAAGTCCGGCTTGTCTTTACTTCAAAATAGGTTTGAGCTTTAACAGAGTTCAACTATGGAGTTTACGGTATGAAGCTTGGATGAGATCTCTCTTGAGATTTCACCAAGCACGGGTATTTAAACCTAGCCAGCCTAGATGGGGGAAACAAAGGAAACAATCATTGTGACCCTAATAGCGGAAATCCCAATCCATGAAATGAACAAGGTGGAAATTGCTCTGAGTGAAATTTAATTGCTCTGGTTACACATCAGTGATAATGACCAGGCACAACAAGAGCAAGAGAAACTAATATCACTCCCATTTTGTAAAGAGTTGAGCCCACCAGGATTTCAGGATTGATTGTACTTTAATTACCCATTGAAGGTTACTGTAACTTGTCATGAGAAGTTGTAAAGACTTCTCATCAAGGAAATTGCAGCAATTATATTTGCTTCAGCAATTTCCAGTTTCTAGGCTTTCTAAAAGGTTTCTTCTGAAACTACCAAAAAGGGTCTTTTGTAAGTTACTGTATTTCTAAGATAACAATGTTTTTTTCTCTTTTCTGCTGGGTAACTACAAAAATTGAACGCAATAATTCCTCCAGAAAATCTGAGAAATTTTAATGACAAAGCCTTCAAGTATTAGTCAAAAGTCAGGGCTGCTAATAGTGAAGCATAACTCTGGAGTGCTTTCTTCTGTCCAGATGCATTTGAAGTTCATCCATAAAATGGTCAAAAATTATTCTAATAGAATCAGCTGTTACCTAATAAATTTGGAGATGATGCCATCATATATCTGATGGTTCAAGAGTTTATTTAAGACCTGGCAACTTATTCCTTTGTCTAAAGAGGCTTTGCAAGCTTCTCAGAGCATCAATTGTACCCAAAAAAAGGATGCATGAAAGAACAACACTTCGAATATACAGTGTGTCCCTTGTTTTTTCATGAATATTTATTGTGTAATTTGTTGGAAAGAATTACATAATCTGCAAGAAATCATAAGAACACTGCACAAGTGAATAAAAACATATTTATGCACTAATCCGAATCTCAATAAAGATATAAAATATGAAACAATAAAGGAAGAAAAAAGAGGGTAAGAGAGCAATCTCTCACAATGGAGATTGTGTGGACACTGTTAAAAAGTCAAAATGAAGGTTCAGAGAAGAGGGACAACCTTTGACCCTTTTGCAGCAAAGTGTGCTGTTTCATTGAAAGGCATAGTTAGCTTTTTTTTTTTGCTCCGCAATTTTCAACATTTTCTGAAGGTTAAAGAACCAGGGCAAACCTGGATTTTATCCAGGAATAAGAGGGTACCTTCTTTAATTTTCAAGAATTGCTTGTTTGTAGTGAACTCTGAACGGGAAGCTTGTACTAGAAGCTCAAAATGAAAGCCTCCAAATCCTTGAACACCTGTGAACGGGGGAAGCACAGAAGCCAAAGGGGGAAAATCTCAGCCTTGACGTATATATTTTCTCCTGAGCAAGACTTTCCCTTGCAATGCAATAAAAACCCATGATCTTTCCCTGACTTTGCGGTCACCCATTTAGTCATGCATTTGCTTTAAATCATTGTATAGAGAGTCAAGAAAATCTTCAAAAGAGTCAGACTTTACCGCCCGAGGATTCAGGAGATTTCTCAGTGCTTCTCACCAAAGCAAGCTTTGCCAAAATGGATATTTGAAAGTCTCAAACTAGGCTTCCAAAATAAGTGGAATTTTTGGGGAAGTTGCCAATTACGTGCAGCCATTTTGTGCGAAATCAAGTATTGCACCCCAATGAATTTATTGGTAAGTGTTTGAGAGAGGTTTGAGCTGAAAGGAGTAAAACTTGGCAATTGGTTGGTGCGCGACCAACCTGTGGGACTTGAAGATCCCAAAATAAGCGCACAATATATATTTGTCGTATGCACAAGTATAAATGCAAAAAAATTCAGTTTCCCACAAAATGGGAGGTTGCGTGTTTTTTTAACAAAGATTGGGAGAGGAATTGCTTCCTTTCTGATTTTTGTTCCCACCCGCCTGGGGTTTTTGGTTCTGTTAATTTCTGCAAAGGGGACAATTTCCCTTCATACACAGTTTTTCTGAGTTGGGTTTCATGGCCAGGTTCAGATGTTCATTTATGATCCCCAGTGACAGCCAATTTATTGCTGTCACTGGTTTTGGCAGTTGCGTGAGCTATTGTGCCCGCGCAGAATCAGCAAATACGTTGTTTTGCACCTATTTGGTTTCTTACACATTTTCCATGCAGCAAGATGACTTATGAAATGCTTTCAAAAAATGTTGAGAAATAAATGTTGATGAATAACATTGGAAATAACTGGTCATCAGAGAATAACCTTTTTTCACATAATGTACATGCCGGACTTGTGCCACAACAAAATCCAAGCGACAAGAAGAAATCAATCATAGATTAAAGAATTTTGTTGCACAGAACCTTGTAATATGAGAAGAGGGCCCTGTATATGGAGCCCAAAAAAATATTCAGAGAAAATTGTTGAAGGCAAGATTATTGTGGAGAGTCTACCTGTACTGTATTAAGATTAGTCATTCAAGGAAGGAGCTGAGGAATGATTTGATTCAGCAACCCCTGTAATTATTGCAGGGAAAGTAAGGAAATTCTTCACTCACTCATAAACTCTCTCAAAGTAAGGGTTCCCAGAAGGTGGGTCCAAAGTGTACAAGATGACATTGTCTCCACCCAGAATTCGAACCAATTCCAGGAATTCAATGAGCATAACTGGTGAGTCCCCATCCACAAAATGAATCCGAGGCACACAAACTGCAATACTAGATAAACTTTGACTGGTTTTTGGTCCTTCATCACGCGTAAGTTTGAGAAGATTTGTTGCTTTGTCGCATTGGTCAACAACTAGGGAAACTGCAACTGGGTAAATCTCACTCTCCTTGCTTTGTGGAACAGTACATTCAATAGAGTAGGAGAACATGTTGCCGATTGTTCCTGAGTCCATGTCCCGAAGGAAACGGTACTTGACAACCGGTACTGCCAATGGCATTGTGTCATTCGCATACCAAACTTGACACATGGCATCCACATTTGGGTGCAGCAGCCTGTTGATCATGCCGAAAATCCGAATGGTGGGTTCAGAAACCAGTGGTCTGATGTCGTAGTGAGCGGAATACAGATGAAACGTTGCATTCCCTGTGGATAACGTCTGCCAAACAAGATTATTTTGGTTCAGTTCTAGGATATGTGGCATTTGCCCACATCCAGGGAAAATGTTGTATTCCGACAACTTGGTTTTGATAGATGTCCAAAAGGCAACTGGTACATTTGCCATTTCCACCTCCAGTAGCTGTTCATCCAATTCATCGAAATTTCGATCCCGAGAAATTTCTTTCCACTATTTGAGGGAATAATGTAAAATACTCATGAACTGGCCCATACATGAGACATAATCTTCTCCAAAAAAAACTGAAGTACCTCTTCTGGTAACGTCTCCAAGCTCCATCCAGTCCCCTTTTCTAATTCTCTCTGATGCTTGGCGAGGGGTTTCCAGTTGATTCCCTCATATTTACCTGATCCTAGAACAAATATACATGTCTGTTGTTGAGGACTGCGGTGCTGGCAGGAATCTGCCCACTTCCTGTAAACTGCCAAAGAAGTTGGCAGTTCCAAAGAACTTGCCCCCAAGAACCTTCAAAACCTGCAATAGGATGTGCAGCATTGTCTACAAATGTGCCTCCCAAAGCCAATCAGAAATGCTGAAAAAAACACTAAAAGAAAACCATTCTCCTACTCTACCTTCTTCCTCTCAAATAACCAGACTTGGAAGTTTAGAACTCATTCCACTACCAATCCCAGCAAATAATCTGTTATAGGAAGGGCTGGGCAAAACAGTTACACATTCTGTAAGGCATTATTTAGGAGGAACTGTTATGCCCAGCTTATTCTGAAACACTTTTTTTTTTTTTTTTGGGTGGAGGTGTACTGAAACATTTTACAGTTACACCTATACTTCTTTAGTGTAGCAGGCAGACGTTTTGAAATGCCTGCCTGCTACACCCAGGAAAATCTGAAAGAAAAATCCCAGGAAAATCTGAAAGAAACAGTTTTTGGTATTGTAACAATACCAAAAACTGGCAATGCGAATCTGGCAACACAGATCCGCACTATTGGATCTGCATTGCAATTGCAGGCAAGATGTTTTGAAACGCCTGCCTGTTACAATACCAAAAACTGTTTCTTTCAGATTTTCCTGGGATTTTTGGTATTGTAACAGGCAGGTGTTTCAAAACGCCTGCCTGTTACCATACCAAAAACTGGCAATACAGATCTGACAATGAGGATCTGCTCTACTGGATCCACATTGCAATTGCTGTGATTGGCCAGAGCAGGAACTCTGGCCAATCTGTTGTGGGACTCATACCACGGTTGTGTACTGCTGGTATAATATGGGCAGTACACAACCACGGTATAATCCCATGGTATCAGTCCCACAACCAACAGACTGGATTGGCCAGAGTTCCCACTGCAGCCAATCTACTGAGGTATAATACCACGGTTTTACCCCTGATATACACCTTGGTATAATACTTAATACCGCAGTTGTATACCAGGGGTACAACTGCGGGATTCTCAATATGATTGGCTGCAGTATTATTGCTGCAGCCAATCACAGACTGGCAAAAAGGATTTGTTATTATGGATCCGTCTTGCCAGACCCATGGTTTTGTACTGCTGGTATAATACCAGCAGTACACAATATGTTATTATACCATGGTTGTGTAGTGCTGGTATTATACCAGCTGTACAAAACCTTGGTTCTGGTCATGTGGATCCTTACTACCAGATTTGCATTTCTACCATGTGATTGGCCAGAGTGGGAACTCTGGTGGCCAATCAAGTTCCGCGGTATATTACACCGCTGGGTTCTGTATTATACTGCAGGGTACACAACCGTGGTATTAGTCTCAAGGTTGTGTACCACCTGTATTATACCAGCAATACAGAACCCAGCAGTATAATACTGCGGGACTTGGTTGGCTAGAGTTCCTGCTCTGACCAATCACATGGTAGCAACACAGATCCGGTAGTATGGGTCCGCATGGCCAGAACCAAGGTTTTGTACCACTGGTATAATACCAGTGCTACAGAACCGCGGTATAATATAATACCGTGGTTGTAACGTGGTTCAAAACCTTGGTTCTGGCAAGGCGGATCCATAATAATGGATCTTTGTTGTCAGTCTGATTGACAGTGATGAAAAATTGATTGAAATTATTTCACGGCTGCCTTAAATAACTTCTGTTTGTAGAATGTTTGCAGTGAGTAAATAACTGATGATATTGGACCTTTGGCAAAATTACAGTCTTTCAAACATGTCTTGTGTCCATTAATGCAATTTCTAACAAAAAGTTTAAATATAAAGGTAATTTTAGTTTCATACTTTTTTTCTGGGATGAATTAATTTTTTGATAATGTAACCTTAAGGGAAATAGGGTTTCAACTTACAACAGCCTCATGTTATGATGTCCATCTTGGAATGGATTGATGATGTAAGATGGGGGCCCACTGTATATGCCTTCTCAGGTATATATGTTGTTGAGGCATTTTGAATATTATTCATGCGTGCGTGGACCTCATGAAGCAAATATCAAATACACAATACACAACATGATATATAGGCAAAACAGTCTTATAAGATATTCACCTCTGAAATACAAATTTTGGAGGTGCAACTGTGAAAGGGACATTTGTCACTGTCAGCTGTGAGGGGGAGTTCTATATTCCTTTAAACAGAACAGAAGCATGTCATGCTGTTAATGTGTGGTGAAGTGAGAAGAGAAATTTCAAAACAATGGAACAGCTGCAGGGAGAAAACCTTATGTGCTTCCTTCAAGCAAGTTGCAAATTGAAAAAGTTCCTGGAAACAAACCCAAGCATTTCCTGGATAACAATACAGAGCTCAAAAAGATGCATAGAATCATAGAATGTGATCAAAGACATGGTATGCTTTTACTCTTGTGTTGCATGAAGGCATTTGTGAGAGTTCAAAAATTCTTTTAGTTCATTAATATTGTTTTGGGACAAGGATAAATATAACCTTCTTGAGCCTCTATAAAGAGGCTCCTATATAGTCAGTCCAAGGCTAATTGTGGTGTTTTACTTACATTTCTAATCACTTTGCTAAGGAACTTATAATCTCCAACATCTGTGATTTGTTGGCAATGTTTCACAAAATGTATATATGGGCTTCTTCTCTGGTGATTACATTTTAGTGATGCTCTTTTTATTACATAAATTTGTCTCCTGCATGCAATTAAGAGGAAACATTTGCATGTACTGTACTTATCTTTTCTTGAGACTCCGTTTTCCCTACAGCTCGTAGTTTGTTGTTTGAAAATAAAATAAACAGAAGTATAAGAAGAAGGATGGCTTCTTTCCAAATCATCTTATTCATTTATACCAGTTAGTTTTTCAATAGAGCAATACTTTATTGAACATTATGCTTTTTTAATCAAAAGGCATGCAGATATTCTCAAATCTAGGCAACACATTTTCCAGAAATTTCCTTCAACACTGCATTTTCTCTGCCGAAAGGTTTGACTTTTGACGCATATCAGTGCTTTATACAAGTTTTTTTTTTCGTTTTTCTGCCAATTGTAAAATAATCCCTGTTTGTGCCATGCACAAAATTAGAGCGAAGATCCGTCACGCTGAAATTACAGCTTGAAAAAGCTTGCTAAAACAACATTCTTGTAACATTTGCGCTGTAAAGCAAAACTGCTGGGATCAAGAAAAATGGTTTGTTACGAAAAAATCCATATAAGGAGACTTTTTGCCATGAGATTTAATTATTGTGCGCAGAGGCGGAAAAACTGACTTCCAAGCATGGCCAGTCAAAGTGTTTTTTGTCTGTTTCGATGGAAAAATCGTGGCCTCACCTATTGTTGACCGGCATGCGCTTGCTGCGAAATGCAGTGAAATGATGTATACTGATGTCAAAGAGCCAATGAGCACAATGATCAGGAACCATAAAGTACGCATCAACTTGCGTTTACTCATGTAGGTATGTTCAGTAGGAAACACAACCGAGATCATGGTTGCAATAAAAGTCCGTGTCTAAGTTCAAATCTGGAATTCAAGCATCAATGCGGAAAATGAATAATATTACAACAGAAGAAAAAAATTTAAGAACATACGAGTACTATCTAACGAGCATCCACTGAATGATATCGTATTATTTCATTTCTAATCGTACGAACTAGCACTGCATGTAAAAACTTAACCGACGACGCGGAACATTGAAAACCCGTATTCTATACTGTAGTTTGTCGTTGATTGAATTTCAAAAACTATTCGAATGCTGAGTGTCAATATATGCACTTCGGAAGCCAGAAAATAGTGATTCGATTTTTGAAAAATTTTCTTCAGGATATTGCAAAACCGGATTACAGTTCAATATTGAGGTTTCTTTTGAAGAATGACAATAAAATGTTGGACAAATATTTCCAAGAATAGATTTCTTAAAAATTTTCAAGTGAAGTAAAATGATCAGCACGTGCACTCGAACTATAAACATACTGTACTACAAAAAATATTCGTTATATTTTCCGTTTTTTTTCAATGCTCGATTACGGACTGAACATAATACTCGTTGGAAATGATGGAAGACCAGCTAAACTAACTACCAGGGATTTTTCAAAAGAAAAGTTCGTCACTGTTCTGATTGAAATACAAAATTCTGAAGATCCAAAAAGTTTACTTGACACAATGACGCAATGACGATGTTGGAAGAATCCGATTTGGTCAGATAATTCCGCTTTTTTTTTTGCTAATAAAGAAATCGCCATGAATATCTTCGCGTTTTTCACAGGCTTACTAAAGATATACATATATATATATATATATATATACTGTATATATGAATGGGGTCAAGAAAGTTGTTGAAAAAATTATCATGGAAAACCTGATATATGCCCTCTGTAAAAAAAACATATAGCAAGCTTCGAATTTTCGAATCACGAATAATTGAGTTCATTCTTCACAATATTGAATTAGTGATTTGGCAGCTTCCAAAATTATGCGATATTTTCTTCTCGATAGGCAGATGAGCTATAGTTTAAAAAAAAGGAAATCTACTCCACAAAGATGTGGAAACGGTATTTTCGATTGCATCTTTTCAAATTCGAATTCAGTTGGGAACTATAAAGATTGAAGCTTGCATGATACAGGGATCAGCACTGATTGAGTAAAGAGCACATATTTTACATCACTAAAAATACCAATAGATTCCGACAACATATACAGTATATCGCTAAAATAAGTTAAATATATCGACACTGCTGGAGTTCTTCAGCTTAAGTCGGACAATTAACCCCATCCCTTTATTGCAGGCACTCGAAAATTCCATATGTGATTGTCCCCATCATGCCAGCGGTATATATGGGTACATTTTAAGCTGAATCATCACTGACTGACTGGCTGTTTTCCTGGTATAGAGAGGTCCAGGTAAGTTCGTCACAAGAGTCAGCATATATTTTTCAAATCCCAAATTTTTGGAGTAAAATGAAAAAATGCTGAAATTTCCGTTATTTTCCTATTGCGGATCAAAGAAGATATACTGGAATTGCGAAAAACTTTCGTCACCATGAGCACCGCAATTTAAAATGTCAGACTTTTGAACCAAGGCTGAAGTTAGGAAGATATCACATACTTTTTTGTGATCCTGCAGAAAATCTTTCCAGAAAAGATGATCCCCCATTAGCTGGCATTGCCTAAACTGAATAAAACCTGGAAATCAAGAAAATTGGAAAAATGTCCTGTAAAATTTTCAGTTTTCAGCAATAGATGAGCATTCAAATTTCAAAAAGTGTGACTTTTTGCTGAAAAAGCTACAGGCTGAAAATGCTAGTTATTCAGAATTATTGAAATCAAAAATATTGAACCAGTGGCCTGTGCAACAGTTCACTATTACACCTACCACACACATCAAGGGTTAGCTGTGTTGGATCAAGGGTTAGCTTTTGTGGTGTCTCTGTTCCTTAGGAGGCGGAGGGGCACAACTGGGCATACCCTTTTCCAAGTATGATCTGTTTGTTGTCCATAAACCAAGGGAAATAAAAATACAAAATTCAATAAAAATATTGTTTCGATATATTCAAGTCACAATGAATATTTGTACAATCACAGAAACATAAAATTAGAGAGATTGGAAGAGAGTCTTGCAAAACCATTCTGCAGGTCTCTCTGAGAAATAACTGCAATAGACTCTAGATTAATTTGTAGGAAGGATAGTATATTTATACCTTCCTGGAAAAATAAAATATAGAGGCAGAATATTTGCCTAGAATTGGAACTGCGGGTTCCATGAATGCTTCTAATGAATACATAAATCCAGGTAAATATATCTCTATTAATATAAATAATTTATACACTTGAGATTTCAACAAAATACTTCTTCTTAATTGGCAGTTTAGAAGGAGGCTGTGAGAAACTAAAGGGAGAGAAATAACCATTTCTGATGAAGAGCCCTGCTTCTGCGTGGGCACTAAAGTTTGCGTGACTACCAAAAATGGCAATTTTCTGAGAGGAGACACACAGTATGCAAGTGTAATAAAGCCCAAAGTATATGAGTGTTTCTAAGAGAAGAATTGTTCAAAAAAAGGGATTGTTGTTTTGGTGACAAGTGCACCCCAAGCGATTCAAGGGACTCTTATTTGTAAAAGTGAGTCATCTGTGGATGAGACCTTTTTATGCCTCTGCTGTGTGTAGGGGTCTTCAGTGTTGAGCTAGCGCCTGGATTGACAGCTTTGCCAAATTTTTTTTTAATTTCCAAAAGAGTGTTGGTGATTTTTTGTTGCCATCTCGTTTATTTTTAGGCAAATTCATTGGGCTTTTTGAGGCCCAGCTAATCCTGTGGTCTCTTGAGACCTGGTGAATACATCAGGCTTGTCCCTGCAAATCCTTTGGGCTCTCAAGACCTGGCAAATTCATCGGGCTTGTCCTGGCAAATCCTTTGGGCTCTCAAGACCTGGCAAATTCATTGGGCTTGTCCTGGCGCCGGTAAGTGAGTTGGCTGTCTGGAGCTGTACTTCATTCATGTGGTTTATATCGGTGAGCAGGTTTCCAGCTAATCTGATGTGTCCTTGGTGTTTCAATGGAGTCGTAACTATTTGGAGTTGTGTTTTCTTAATCTGAGGTTGAGTACTCCCTGTTGCTCAGTTCTTTGCAAGTTGTCTCCTGAGAAGCCCCCCTGGTTGTTGGCATTCTTGTGGTACTCTTTGTGCTTTCTTGTAGTTTTTCTTCTCTGACGTGTGTGTGCAGGTTTTATTTTGTTTGAAATGTTTGCTTGGGCATCTGTGCCAATTTTTCCCAGTTTTTTCAAGGCGTTTTTACCTGTTTTGCCTGTGAAATTCTGGCGTATGTGCCAAAAACCGAGTGCCATGGGCTCTAAGTAATTGCCCTTTCCCAACTGGATTGTTGCGTCTTTTGCCTTTTTTACAAGGAAAAGTGTAGTTTAACCTTCCCATTTTGTTCTTTATAACCAGGCTGACATTTTTTTGCAAAGTTTTGCTGACTATCCAACTCAAAGAGAAAATCTTGTGTAGGAGATTGGTTTTTCCTTATCACAGTTAGATAACAGGAGAAGGAGATCAGGGAAGATGAGTACTGGTCACAGTGAGGATCTTTTTTTGGATGCCACATCTGATGACGGTGCCATTGCTTGGACCAAAAGCACTGGCAAGGATCTGTTCTTGGACATCATGTCCCAAATGTCCCAAGGTGACGCTATGGGTCAGGCCACTGTTTTGTTTGACAAGGAGATACTTCCTCCACCGGTTGTTGGTTAGTACCTTTCCTTACTCTCCTTGTCATTTTTTGTGTGTCAAATAACTGTTTTTTGCTTGATTGGTCTGTTTGTCAATCACTTTTGTTTGTTCTTCCTTTTCTGTTTATGAATTTTAGTGGTTCAGCCTCTATGCAGTGCTGTGCAGTGCTGTGAAATTGACAACCTTCCTTGTAGACGCAATGTTGCTGGGTCTGCTGAGAGTGACTCTGAAGATGCTGAGGGCGCAGTGAAAGTCCCAAAGGGTGCAAGGGATCTTGCAGCAAAGCTGATGTGTATGAGCCCTGCTGGTTTGCGTAGATTGACAGACTTGGTTCTGTTTGAGGAGTCTGAGACCTTGGAGAAGATTGCCTGGGATCATATGCTAGTGGAACTCAGTTTTCTTTGACACAATGTGTCTGGATTTTGTGACAAGATTCAGAAACAACAGGACACGCGGGAGGCCCTTGAGGTTGAGATGGACGCCATGGTTTGGAAACAGGAGGAGCTCAAATCATCTTGTGTCCTAGCTGCTGTAGTTGATCTTGCGGCAAACGCACAGATGCAAAAAGTTGAGGTGTCAATTCAGCAGGTCCTCAAGAGCAACGCAAACTTGTTTTTGGTGCTTTTGGCCAGAATGCCCAAACTGTATTTAGTTGAGGGGCTGGCCTACAAAGACACAATAGTGTGTGAGTAAGATGCAGCAATTTCTAACCCCTAACCATGTATCATAGGTGACTAAACAAATACCTTTGTTTCCCTCTCGTAGCAGTGCCATCTGGTGAGTTGTGCCTCTTGGAGGCCAGGGGAAGTCAAGTCTTCAGCTGAGGATTGTAGGAGGCTCTCTTGGAGTACTGGAACTCAAAGTATTCTGAAGCCGCTATGCAGCGCAAGACGAAGGGCAAAGAGGCCATGGCAAGGATCCTAGCGCAGATTTCCAAGCATCCATTGGGCCAGGAAGTTAAATGTCGCCATGTGGACAAGGAGAGTTCTGACAGTTCTTGTGGGGTGTCAACTCAAGACACTGAGTTGGAGCCGGCGTCCCTATTGCGTGAGGATCCGTCAATAGTGGATCTCTTGGTTCCTGAGGCCTATGCTGATCTGGATTGGTTCTTAAATGAATGTGAGTTGAAGAAAACTGATTAGTTTTTCTGGTTGTCATTTTAATGCCTGTCCCTTTTTTGACGTTCAGAGAATTCCCAAACGACGTTTAGGATTGGGGCTTTCTGCCCAAACAGAAGGGACAGGATCCAATTTCAACAGAATGTGTGCTATTGTCTGGGGATGATGGCAACAAGGTTTGTCCAG